TTCCTGGTTCTAGTCAGGACTAATGTGATCGTACTTCCTGGTTCTAGTCAGGACTAATGTGGTCGTACTTCCTGGTTCTAGTCAGGACTAATGTGATCGTACTTCCTGGTTCTAGTCAGGACTAATGTGGTCGTACTTCCTGGTTCTAGTCTGGACTAATGTGATGTACTTCCTGGTTCTAGTCAGGACTAATGTGATGGTACTTCCTGGTTCTAGTCAGGACTAATGTGATGGTACTTCCTGGTTCTAGTCAGGACTAATGTGATGGTACTTCCTGGTTCTAGGTCAGGACTAATGTGATGTACTTCCTGGTTCTAGTCAGGACTAATGTGATGTCGTACTTCCTGGTTCTAGTCAGGACTAATGTGGCGTACTTCCTGGTTCTAGTCAGGACTAATGTGATGGTACTTCCTGGTTCTAGTCAGGACTAATGTGATGTACTTCCTGGTTCTAGTCAGGACTAATGTGATGTACTTCCTGGTTCTAGTCAGGACTAATGTGATGGTACTTCCTGGTTCTAGTCAGGACTAATGTGATCGTACTTCCTGGTTCTAGTCAGGACTAATGTGATGGTACTTCCTGGTTCTAGTCAGGACTAATGTGATGGTACTTCCTGGTTCTGGTCAGGACTAATGTGATGGTACTTCCTGGTTCTGGTCAGGACTAATGTGATGGTACTTCCTGGTCCTAGTCTGGACTAATGTGATGGTACTTCCTGGTCCTAGTCTGGACTAATGTGATGGTACTTCCTGGTTCTAGTCTGGACTAATGTGATGGTACTTCCTGGTCCTAGTCTGGACTAATGTGATGGTACTTCCTGGTTCTAGTCTGGACTAATGTGATGGTACTTCCTGGTAGTCTGGACTAATGTGATGGTACTTCCTGGTTCTGGTCAGGACTAATGTGATGGTACTTCCTGGTTCTGGTCAGGACTAATGTGATGGTACTTCCTGGTAGTCTGGACTCCAGCTGCATGTTTTTAAATCTACTGCAGCTGTTGTGTTGTTTTTCAGAAGTAAGAAGCTGCTGATTTGACGAAGCCCTCCTGAGTCCACAGACCAGCACAGACCAGCACAGACCAGCACGGACCAGCACGGACCAGCACGCACAGACCAGCACAGACCAGCACAGACCAGCACAGACCAGCACGGACCAGCACGGACCAGCACGGACCAGCACGGACCAGCACGGACCAGCACGGACCAGCACGGACCAGCACGGACCAGCACGGACCAGCACGGACCAGCACGGACCAGCACGGACCAGCACGGACCAGCACGGACCAGCACGGACCAGCACGGACCAGCACGACCAGACCCAGCACAGACCAGCACAGACCCAGCACAGACCAGCACCAGACCAGCACAGACCAGCACAGACCAGCACAGACCAGCACCCAGCACAGACCAGCACAGCACGGACCCAGCACAGACCAGCACAGACCAGCACACAGACCAGCACAGACCAGCACGGACCAGCACGGACCAGCACAGACCAGCACAGACCAGCACAGACCAGTAAAGACCAGCAAAGACCAGCACGGACCAGCACAGACCAGCACAGACCAGCACAGACCAGACCAGCACAGACACAGACCAGCACAGACCAGCACAGACCACACAGACCAGCACACTGACCAGCACGGACCAGCACGGACCAGCACCAGCACGGACCAGCATCGGACCAGCACAGACTAGCACGGACCAGCAGCAGGGACCAGCACAGACCAGCAGCAGGGACCAGCACGGACCAGCACAGACCAGCACAGACCAGCACGGACCAGCACAGACTAGCACGGACCAGCACGGACCAGCACGGACCAGCACGGACCAGCACAGACTAGCACGGACCAGCACGGACCAGCACGGACCAGCACGGACCAGCACAGACCAGCACAGACCAGCACAGACCAGCACAGACCAGCACAGACCAGCACGGACCAGCACAGACCAGCACAGACCAGCACAGACCAGCACGGACCAGCACGGACCAGCACGGACCAGCAGGAGCCTGTGGAGACGTGGACGTGGAAAGAGGAATGTGAGCAGAGTATTTATAAAGAAACATAATCTCAGTCCAACTCTCGCTGAAGAGTTGCATTTGTGTTTACGTCTCAACAACCTTCACTCTTTCAGACATCTTTGACATGCTGCTCTGTGGTTCTTCTGGCACCCCCTCTGCTCTTTCAGGTTAGCTTCCTGTTGCTAGCCTCACGACTGCTGCTGG